TTAAATGGCTTGAAAGCCAAAGAGGCAGCGGCTAAAGCAGCAGCGGTTTCACCGGCTAAGTCTGAACCAGGATGATATTGGTCAATTTTATAAGCTGTTCTTGAAGTGGTCATGTCCTCGGCTCGTTCCCAACAATAATGGTCTGATTCTCCATCTCCAACTTGACCCCATAGAACATTAGGCTGAGGATGTGCCTTGATGAAATAATCAGTACCCCATCTGATTGACCACAATGTTTGTTGCATCTGGTTCGAACCGGATAGCTCTTTCCGGTTATCAACCGCGGCCCACGATAGCATTGTTACTGCGAAAGCCATTGGTAAACCGAATTTCACATGGTCTCCTGCATCATAATATCCTCCCTCCAAGCTCACCTATTCATTCATTTATATACACAAATCTCAATATCATTGTATAAAATGAAATCGTTTTATTGGAATCAATTGGCACTTCGAGATTTGTTACAAAATCTAGTAAATCTTTGTATATATGACAACATATTCTTGTTTTTACATCTTTTTAGTGTCGTATAAAATTAAGGTTACTTATATAAATTTGTGTGTGAACTAGCGCTAATTTTTGTCAACAAAAATATTATGTAAAATATTACTATAATTTTCTTGGATATTTAGCATGTAAAGTCGACGATATAGTATAAGCAATGTGTGTTTGTGTAAATATTGTATGGACTTACCCCTTGAGCAAGACCATCCTTGAGACCAGAGTGACTACGCCATTTGACACGTTGAGCAGCCGGCAACTTCCCTGATCTTTGAGCCTCAAAGAACAAGAAGGTCTTGTCAAGGGCATTTCCGTAGTTGTAATACTCCGCTGCTGCGGTGGCTGCCGCGAGAAGAACGGTCAGTAATAGGCTTACGCCGAACAAAGACCCACCAAACTTCCCCATTCTCTCTCGATCAATATTAATTCTTAGTTTTCTTCTCTCCCAAGAAACAATAATTTGTTCAAAATTCTGATGTGAGTTTGTATATACGTGGGTACATATATATTAAACGAGAGAGAGAAACAGAGATTGTGTATCTGAGTTTGGTGAGAGAGAGGAAAGTACCAAATCAAATAGGTACAAATTTTGTCTGAATAATCATTGTCTTTGTCTATATTTGTGTTCGTGTGTGTATGTTTTATAATAGTTGTGGCCTTCACGTTATGTTAGAGCTTCTCACGTTGTACATTGAGACTTTTGTTGTCAAGAATCTGAACCAACCGAAACTCACCACGTGTGTCTCTTATTAGCCGTCGTGACATTGACCATCTATTTGTATAAAAAATTAGTAGATGAATGTATCTTAATTAGGTATTGTAAGAAAAATTAAAATGTTTTTTTTAGAATAATATTTTGGTTGATTTTTGTTATGGTGTCAACGGACAAGTAATACATTCGTGGTATCCACTTCTTGTAGTCCATGTTTGAGAGATTAGACCGGACTCCAACAAAAATATTATGTAACCTTGTCAATGTTTCTGCACTTCTAAATGAATGTATTGAATTTTAGTCACGTTCGCTTGATCATATTGTAATTTCTATAGAGAAATAGAGAAAAAAAAAATCCGAGTTTTCATGGTGTATGAAAATATATTAAATTGTTTTTAATAAAAATTTCAATATAAGTTGACACCTTTGTTAATTGATGGTTACCACTGTTAACTAGATTTTGACCAATCACAAGCTTGAAATTCGCCTTAAATGCAGTATTATCAACGGCTGGTTTCGGGCATCGGAGGAGATTATTCTCTCTTTCAAGGTCTTTCAAAAAAAAAAAAAGACAAGCTTGGAATTATAAAATAAAAAAAAATTATTATAAAAATTGTTAATATATTAGAAAAATAAAAATAGATGATATGAGCTTAAATTTGTAACAAATATATATCAATTATATATATTATTGAATTAATGAGAATATGTAGAGATTTTCACCATGATATATAAATTTAGTTAAAATATTATGATTGGTTAAACTAAATGACTTATATCTCTTAAGACGCTATTTAAACGTTACGATTTTTTTTACAATGTCTCTTCAATTAATAAATGTAGGATGTTTTAGATGATACAACTTTTGACCTAAGAAAATTACAATTAACATACGTCCAATAAAAAAAACAAAATTTCCTTGATTAAATTATAAAATCTCAAAATTTAAATTTAAGTCATATTCGGACTTATTGGAGTCGATGGTCCTTTCTCTTCTAAGGTGACTACCTCCTACTCTGGACCTTCCGTCGCATGCATCTTTTTCCATATTGCATAATGCATATGGCAAAGACATTATTTTGAATTTTTGAAAGTTGTCTATCCATTTCTTTTTTTTAAAGATCTAATTTTGATATT